CTGTTCTCCAAGTCTCCAAGCCTGACTGCGGAGAGAAGAAATGCAGCCATTAAAGTAAGAAATAGCAACCATCTGCCAGCACGCTCTGTTTTAGGAATATTTTAATACCTAAAATGAATGGCAGGCAGCGACCCTTTCCAGAAAACAGTGTAAAATCACCAAGGGTGGGGAAGCAGGTAGGCACCCACAGAAGCTTCAGAAAGTACTGAGAATTACAAGACAAATGTTCAAAAGGTAACGTTAAGTTAAAAACCATCTCCCAGGGGACTCTTTCCCCCTCCCCACGTGGGAGTCTGTGCTTGTTCTTCAGTAAATTTCCACTTTTGCTATAAAAACAAACAAATGAACAAAAAACCATCTCCCCGTTTTGGTAGGGTTTTTGAAATATATTTTTTTATTGATTTCAGAGTTAGAGGGAGAGGGAGAAACATCAATGATGACAGAAAATCTTTGCTTGGCTGCCTCCTGCACGCCCCCTACTGGAGATTGAGCCCACAACCCAGGCATGTGCCCTGACCAGGAATCGGACCGGGAATCAAACCATGGTTCATAGGTTGACGCTCAACCACTGAGCCAGACCACCAGGCTCATCATTGATGTTTCTCTCTCTCTCCCTCTCCCTTCCTCTCTGAAATCAATAAAATACCAGAAGAAAAAGAATGACAGGTGGGAACGCTGCCCCTGGTAACTCGACCGAGTTATGTGGGCTGCTCAGCAAGAGGCTGCTCTCTCTCTCTCTCACACACACACACACACACACACACACACTCTCTCTCTCTCTCTCTCTCTCTCTCTTACCTGTTCAAGCTCCTCATCTTCAGATGCTCCATCACGAAGGCTGCCCCACCCCCGGGCAGGTCGATAACCTTGATGGGCCGAGGGGCCCGCACCATGCCCGTGCTCCGGAGGGCCTCCAGGCTTGCCACCTCCCCCTCAAACATCTGCCGGGCCTGTGTCCAGAACACCACCATGAGCTCCCACTCCAGCAGGGGCCTCTGCAGCCAGGCTGTGGCTCACAACCCTCCACAGAAGCCACCACACGGGGTCATAAGCACCCAGGACCACTAGTTACTGAAAATGGGGTTCCTGTGGGTGGGGCTTATCATTCTGAGACATTTGGGTTCTGAAATCAGACTCCTCAACAGTTCTGGGTGCCCACAGAGCAGGGATGCTGGATCAGCCCCCACCCCTTGTCCACCCAGCCATGGACAGTGCTGCAGGGTGTCCGAAGGGGTCTCTCTGGATCCCTCCAGCCCACAGGCAGCACCCCACCACTGCTGGGTACATGCATGTGGCTAACTCTCTCCACTTGGTTTTTTGTTTTGAAATTGATTTCAAAGAGGGAGAGGGAGAGAGAAAGAAACATCAATGATGAGAGAGAATCATTGATCAGCTGCCTCCTGCACGCCCCACTGGGGATGGAGTCCGAAAACCAGTCATGTGCCCTGACGGAGAATTGGACAGTGACCTTCTGGTTCATAGGTCGACGCTCAACCACTGAGCCACACCGGCCGGGCTAACTCTCTCCTTGTCAAATGTTGTATTATCCGTGTGTGTTTAACAGATATAGGGTAAGCAGGAGATGAAAACCAGACCCAAACACAAGCAGGGTCTGTGAGTAGAGGGGCCTGGAGTCTGGCCCTTGCGGTGCCTGGGAGTCCTGGCTACCTTCCTGCCTCTTCAGACCTGAAGAGGACGGGACCTTGGGGAAACCTGAGCTCAGAGCTGGGGCAGGAGGGTGGCAGGAGCAGCCCAGGTCTCCAAGCCTCACCTCCCCCATGCTTGGTGGGTGGAGACATTAAACCAAACAACAGAAAACTCACGCACGGGGTCAAAGGACCAGAATTAATCCGGCAGCGGGTAAAATGCTGCGGGGGATCCCGCAGAACATGCTGGAGCCCTGTGGCCTGCAGGTGTCCGGTTCAAGGCCGCAGGCTGACACGGGGGCAGTGGCGCCAGGCCTGACGCACGAAAGGCCACTCGTGCCCGCGCCCCCTGCCCCGCGTCCCCTTCCGCGCGCCCCATCCCCTTTATCCGCCCCCTCTCCCCTTTCCACGCTCTCTCCGTTCCCCGCCTTTCCCACCCTCTCCCCCTCTCCAGTCCCCGCACCTGAGCCCTGCGGTTGACCTTGACAAACACAGGCCCCGCGTCAGTGTCGTAGGAGTGCCCCTCGCTGATGCAGCCCCCGCCAGAGCGCCCCAGGGCGCGCAGGGTCGCGGTGCGCAACTCCGAGCGCAGCAGCTGCTCCAGGGGGGC